GCGACCTTTGAAAATCATTTGAAATTTGTGTCAATACGTCATGAATAGAACGCAGCAGCAGTTTTCTGTCGGGGACTTGTCGTGTCGTGCCACGCCCGAGTAGACCATAGATATGTATATATATATCTATATGGTGTAGACAGCATCACTGATTATAATGAGTTCTATAGTATTTTGTCGCGCCGCGCCACTCGCGTCCGGTCTAGAAACGGTGTAACATTTCGTTTTGCTTTGTTTCACAGAACTAATCGTTGCCTGGGTTGCGTACGTATATGTGGGGCGGAGCTATCAAAATAGGGGCGAGACCCTTTTGGGGTAGGGGCGTGTTTGTTTTGGTGATTTCAAATGTCAACATTGGCTACCAGAAATCGCTTACCCCACCTTTAAGCACTGATAATCAGATGTTGGGAGTGAAGGGAGTGTGTCGCTCCAAACACACTCTGGTATCACTTTTTAACCATCATCCTCATTTGTACTGCCTAAAAATGAGAGTTGTCTGCCCAAATCCAACCCATGGGCAAGTACACATGACAATGTCGTTTAACTAGGAGTGGTTGTCGCAGCCTGTGTAATGAATAAAATTCATTAGTCAAGAATAATAATGGGATTACTCAACTGTTTCAGGGATATTCTCAAAGACTTCCCGAGCCTCCTCGTAACTGCATATCTCCTCGAAACACTCACGTTCTAGATTACCTGGGGTGAAGATCTCAAAGTCGAAGCGGTTGAACAATAGGTGGCGTCCTAAAAATGTGTTGGCCTCCTGGTCCACAACAAACACTACACGGCACCAATAAATATGTCAAATGTGACTGAAAATACAGTGTCATGCAATAATCAAAGGTAATGTTACATATATTGAAACAGAGATGGAGATAGAGATATACTTTGATAGAGATATAAAGTACATCTGAACATAACCATAAAAATACAATGAAGTAAAGTAATGGATATCATTAAAGTTACCTTATAATAGGCTGTCTCATAAACCTACACTTATCATATCCTATCCTATCTTAGATCATGATACTATTTTAATAGGAGCATGTGCTTTCATTATTGTGTTTAAAAACAAAATGTAAATGTTTAAAAGCATTGCCCACCTTTACTGTCTTGATCTGCTGGTATTTGAAGTTTTTTTCTCACACACGCACAGTGTCCACATAAAGTGAAATGACACAGCAGGAGGACAAATATAAGCATTTCTAGTCAACTGCGGGGGAAAAGGACAAAAACCGGGCTACTCAACGACACGGAACGACAGACTGAATTCTACAAACACACACCCATATTGTGTTATTTCAGAAGTTGAAATTCCAATTCGATTTTAATAGGAAAAAGGTCTCAGCTTTAATAGTCGAAATCGAAAGAATGTGAAGGAAGCTATCAAATTACTTACCTTTCAATGATAGTTTATATTGCCAGAGATTAAAGTTAGCGTTAAACTTTAATTAATTTCCAGAGAGCACACTTGAAGACATTCGTGGGTTGGACGAAATGTCATTTGTTGTGTTCCAGGAAATGACAGTTTCTGTTTACAACACACACACACACACACACACACACACACACACA